AGTAGATGTTATAAGCGCTGATTCTTTTAGCAGTCTAGCAGTTACACCAGGACTACTAACCTTGTTTACATCAAGACACTTCAAAATTCACCAGGAGACACAGTAATCGAAGAAAGCGACTTAGCATAAAGAGGCTATTTTTGTAAAGCTAAGTCAGACTGTAGTACATCATGCGAAAAGTGTTGACCAAAATACCCGATAGTTCTTTGACTAGGACTGCATTGTGAAGTTGGTAGTAAAGTATGGCTTGAAAGCTCCACACACATCCATGCTAGAGAAATAAAGACTCTGCATATCTCCCTTCAAGCTGCATTTGCTCTCTCTTCAGGTTATTCAAAGCTACAATTCTCATCGTTAACTCCGACGAAGCCACCACCAGCTGGAACGCAATTAAAAACATCAAGTGTATCGGAAGCATATCCGACAAAACTATCCAAGGAAGAGAACAAAATTATAGAAAAATTAAGGCCTAGTGACACAACGATTCTTGATGTTGGCAGCAAGAATATATCAGCTGAAGGGGCAAAAGCAATTGCAGAAGCCCTGAGAACAAACGAAACATTAACAGCGCTTTATATGCAGGAGAAGAATATATCAGATGCAGGGTCAAAAGCAATGGCAGAAGCCTTGAAAATAAACCAAACATTAACATATCTTGGTATTAGCAGCAACAATATATCAGCTGAAGGGGCAAAAGCAATTGCAGAAGCCTTGAAAATAAACAGAACATTAACAGCGCTTTTTATGCGGAAGAATAATATATCAGATGCAGGAGCAAAAGCAATTGCAGAAGCGTTGAAAACAAACAGAACAGTAACAACGCTTTATATGCAGGAGAAGAATATATCAGATGCAGGGTCAAAAGCAATGGCAGAAGCCTTGAAAATAAACCAAACATTAACATATCTTGGTATTAGCAGCAACAATATATCAGCTGAAGGGGCAAAAGCAATTGCAGAAGCCTTGAAAATAAACAGAACATTAACAGCGCTTTTTATGCGGAAGAATAATATATCAGATGCAGGAGCAAAAGCAATTGCAGAAGCGTTGAAAACAAACAGAACAGTAACAACGCTTTATATGCAGGAGAACAATATATCAGATGCAGAAGCAAAAGCAATTGCAGAAGCGTTGAAAACAAACCACAGATTAACACATCTCCCATGAGGGTAATTTTTGTTGAAAACTTGCGATATATCGAGATATTATGCTAAATGTGCTGAAATATCGCGATAATGAGCAACTCTGTCGCGATATAAAAGTGAGTGCAGTTTATCGCAGTCTCTCGATAAAACGCAGTAAGCCAAACTATCGCGGTATACAAGTCATTTAGTGTTGTAAATACCAGTATGTCAATAAACCGCGATTAATATTTATCGGACTTTATCCTGATAAAAGTACTATCGTTATATGTGTGATCTTTATCTCCAAAAGCAAAAGTATTGCGATAGACTCCAATAGCTTTTTATCGAGTATTATCGTGATAAAAGGGTCATCTCGATCATCATTTACACGGAAAATATACAATTATAAGAATGTGAATTGGGATTACTATCGTTATGTTCGTTTTAACATCCTAATATCGATTCAGTACATTTTTGACTCTAAGTATAACCTTGATAATCAGATTAAAGAACTTGAAAAATCGATTTTAGAAGCCGCTAATACTGCAATACCTCATAAAATCATAAGAGTTAGAAGTGGAGACCAGCCTTGGTTTTTGGATAAGTTGCGTACACTTCTAAAGAAAAGGAATCGAGCATATCGTAAATACGTTAAAATTAAATCTACCGTCAGTCATCATAACTATATTT